GCCAGACCTCTGAACTGGATGACATGACAGAGGAGCGCCAGAGAGAAGAGACCTTCAGACAGTCAGGGATCAATTCCTCCAACAGGACAGGACAGCCCAAACCAAGATCCTTCTTTTGTTTGTGAGCTATGACTAAATCATGGAGGAATTGATTTCTCTGTAACTGTGGCTTTCACAAAGACACACGTCATAAATAAGATGAGTTCAAATAACACTGAACAATTCAACATCTTATTTATGGAGCTCTCCCTAGATTTCATTTCTCTCTTGGGCCTCGTTAATCAATTAATTAAATTCAGGAAAATGTTCTGTTTTTATAAGTTTGGTTCCTGCCCAGCTGTATGATATATTTAGCAGAATCACTGAAAAACTTGGAGTTATAATCCAGTATTTTTAAGAGCAGTAGTAAATTTGAGTCCTTTTTCTGATTAGACACCTGGAAAGAATAACTTAAGGGAGTTTGGTTGCTTTAAAATAACCCCAGGATGAGCAATAACAGTGTTTAAAACCTGATGTTTTACCAAATAAAGATCGTGACTCATTTCTTTCACAAATGAAGGCTTAGCACTGTTCAGTCACTGGGTGTGCTGCCACCTTGTGATGCACCCTAAACCCTGCAGGCTCACAGACTTATGTCAGCTCATAACTTCAGCCCTAAAGCCAAGGGCAAACCCTGCAGGGTCAGAGATGCACCCTCTGCCCTGCAGCATCAGAGTCCACTGACAGATGGATGCTACTGACCCCTCAGTGATCACAGTCAATACTTTGTTGACCGCTCTCCTCTTTTCTGGCTTCTTGCTCAACGGAGCCTGCAGTGCTGAGCCACCATCACTCACACTCAGCAGGGCAGTGAGCAGATTAGCTGACCTCCCCTGGTTTTAGGAGTTAACGACCCCTCCGGTCTGGTCAGCAAACACCACGACCCTCGAGTGGCTGGAAACCCCTGGGTGAGGCGGTCGGGGATGCTCCCCAGGATCAGGCAGAAGCCAGGAGGGGAGATAGCAGCGTCTCCGGCATCCCTGACACTCCGTCAGCATGGCAGCGTGAGTCAGCAGTTTATCAGAGGAGATGGATGACCACTCTGGTCTAGCAAACGCTTCACACACTCATCTTATGCTCTGCAGGGTTTTAAGATTCAATGAAATAACAGAGTTTTTTGTCTTTTATGAAAAATTGTGGTTGATTTGTTCATGGACATACAGAATCATTCACTTCTGATTAATTGTGAATGCTTTAATAAAGTTTGAAGGACATGAAATCTACATTGAATATCTGCAATGACCTGATATTTTATTACTATCCAGATGAAGTGGCAAGAAGGAAGGAACATTTCTTTTTTCTAATCCCTCAAAAATAAAATGTATCATGAAAGCAAAATAAATATTTTGTATATAAATCTATTCCAGGAAATAACGTATGTAAAAAATAATACATATATTTACACACTGCGTGGCCAAAAACAAAAGTTGGCACCAACAAAAAGGTGAAACACTAATATTTTATTGGACCGCCTTTAGCTTTGATTAAGGTACACATTCGCTGTGGCGTTGTTTCGATAAGCTTCTGCAATGTCACAAGATTTATTTCCATCCAGTGTTAGATATAATGTTCACCAAGATCTTAGAAGAAGAGTCTGACTGCTGCACAAAGCCTTCTCCAGCACACCACAAAGATTCTCGATGGGGTTAAGGTCTGGACTCTGTGGTGGCCAATCCATGTGTGAAAATGATGTCTCATGCTCCCTGAACCACTGTCTGAGCCTGATGAATCCTGGCATTGTCATCTTGGAATATGCCCGTGTCATCAGGGAAGATGGAATAACCTGGTCATTCAGTATATTCAGGTAGTCAACTGACCTCATTCTTAGACCACATCCTGTTGCTGAACCTAGACCCGACCAACTGCAGCAACCCCACATCATAGCACTGCCCCCACAGGTTTGTACAGGCATGATGGGTACATCACTTCATCTGCCTCTCTTCTTACCCTGATGCACCCATCACTCTGGAACACGGTCCAGAATGGCATATCAGTGCAAGCTGTGACAAAGTTTGCTCTGTCAGCGTAGCATCCAGAGCATGGAGGCACAACCAGGAGACAGGCCAGTCCATCAGATGTGGAGGAGGCCATAGGAGGGCAATAACCCAGCAGCAAGCCTGCTACCTCCACCTTTGTGCAAGGAGGCACAGGAGAAGCACTGCCATAGCCCTGCAAAATGACCTCCAGCGGACCACAAATATGCATGTGTCTGCTCAAACGGTCAGAAACAGACTTCACGAGGACCCGACATTCACATGTATGGGTTGTGCTTACAGCCCAACACTGGGCAGGACGTTTGGCATTTGCCAGAGAACACCAAGATTGGCGAATTCATCGCTGGTGCCGTGTGCTCTTCACAGATGACAGCAGGTTCACACTGAGCACGTGACAAATGTGCGTCTGGAGACGCCAGGGTGAACGTTCTGCTTCCTGCAACACCTCCGAGCATGACCGGTTTGGCAGTGAGTCAGGGCTGCACAGCCCTCCATGTGCTCGCTAGAGGTAGCTGAGAGGAGATTCTCAGACCCCTTGTGAGACTGTATGCTGGTGTTGTTGGTCCTGGGTTCCTTCTAATGCAAGACAATGGTAGACCTCATGTGGCTGGAGTGTGTCAGCAGTTCCTGCAAGACAAAGGCATTAATGCTATGGACTGGCTCACTCGTTCCCCATACCTGAATCAAATTGAGCACATATGGGGCATCCCGTCTCGCTCCATCCACCAACGCCACGTTGCACCACGGACTGTCCAGGAGTTGGCGGATGCTTTAATCCAGGTCTGGTAGGAGGTCCCTCAGGAGACCATCCGCCATCTTATCAGGATTATGCCCAGGAGTTGTAGGGAGGTCACACACACTACTGATCATCATTTTGACTTGTTTTAAGGACATCACATTAAAGCTGGATCATCCTGTGGTGTGTTTCTACGCTTTAATTTTGAGTGCGACTCCAAATCCAGACCACCATGGGCTAACACATTTGATTTCTATTGATAATTTTGTTGTCAGCACATTCAACTATGTAAAGAACAAAATATTTAATGAGAATATTTCATTCAGATCTAGAATCCCCAAGACCCCTTTATGTGTGTGTGCGTGTGTGATTTGGCTCTGAAAAGCTGGGCTCAGGAGTTCTTCTGCAAACTATGGTCAGAGAACACTTCTGAGAACCCCCCCAAAAAAGAGGAAAGGATGACACGAGCAACAAAAGTAGCTGCCTGTTCTCTAGCTCGATCCTTTCTGAAACTCAAGACATCAGAGCAACAGTGACACGAGCATCGTTTGTCCAGAATAATATTCACAGGTTTCGGAGTAATTTAACATCACTTCTTTAATTAAAAACAGTGTCCATGTCATGGCTGCAGTAACGAATTGTCTATTTCTGTTCAAGTCGTTTTAAAGGCAGTGAGCTAATTTTTAACCACGTTTGAGACAAACCCTTAAAAGGGACTTTAGGGAGTTTTGAATTTTTATGCTCACGATTACCCCCTCAGGCCAAAAGCGTAACGGCAGCTTCAATAGTAGGCTCGTGCACGAGGCGCGCATGCTGTACGTGCACACTCCATAACGAAAATAACAGCTGAGACAGCTCCGTGTGTTTGTGTGGCCCGGAGTACAGAGGGCAGGAGAACGCGCAGCTAATTAATTAAATAATTTGGTTCTGTACCTTTCTCTTCAGCACAGCTGACAAAAAAGGTTTATGATGAGTCAGTCCTCCTGCATGCTCAGATCATTCCCTTCCCTTGCTTGAAAAATTGTTCCAAAAAGAAAGTTGAACCCACATCTTTTTTATCTGTGAATTCAATGCCGTTCGGCGAGTCTCAAACAAAAATTTGGGCATCTTACTGTAAAAAAAATTTAC